TTTAGGGTTAGTTTGTGGTGTTCCAGCCCCATCAACAATAGAGCTGAGGGACAAACATGTCAGCCGTAGCCCGATCGTACCAGACCATTGTACAAATTACATTTCGTACTAAGGTCTGGATGTGCTCCATTAACAGATAGGAGGGGTTAACTATTTTTGCAGATTGAAACGATTGGATCTGAGTTTACCGTTGCGTATGTAATTCGCCCGAGTGTCGCTAGCATTTAGCCTAGCCATCTCCTTTGCCGCTAACGGAGTAGCGCCACAATTTTTGCCAGCGATTACATTTGCTAAACATTCCTCTTGCTCCAGCTTCAATTTCTTGATGGAACCAGATCGGATTACTTTACTATCGAAATTTTTGCTATTGCCAAACTACAACCTGCACGTGCGACGCAAACTCTTGACGTCACCCACAACTAACTACAACACCCGCCTCCTGTGTTCGCTACAATTGGCCGGATGGAATTCAACCGATTGAAATCGCTAACTCAGGGACCAGACCAGTGCCGGCGTGGCTAATCGGGAGAGCCGGGAGGTTTCCCGGTGGGCCGGTTGGGCTAAGGGCCGGTGGGCTGGATGTTGTATGTTGCTAGTTCAGACTTGGCCGGCGGCCGTGCTTTCCTGACACCGCTGTTCACCGCAGCCTTCTCGGACCTGTCGCTCGGACGTGCGCACTGCCTCTCTCTCTCTCTCTCTCTCTCTCTCTCTCACCCACACACACACGCACACGAGTAAACAGCACACACACTTCTGGCTAGTCTCATTTGGCCGCTTTCATTGGTTACGATGTGTTCTGCAACGGCCTGATTGGTTGTCTGTAGATTGTAGGCGGGATTAAGCGAGAGCGCGGGCCATAGATCAGGTTGAATGACAGATAGAACTGAAGCAAGCGCCGTTTCTCACAGACATGACATCTGTCCAACACGAGTGTTTTTAAAATGGAAAGGAACAAAATCAAGGGCTGAGCAGAAAAGATTAGAATAAAAAAAAGGAAAGCTCTTGAAGCTGAAGCAGCCAAATGTGCAAAGTTGGTAGTTTTTTTCTATAAAAAGTGCTCCGCCGATGAAGAGGCATCAGACCGCGGTAAGCTAGCAAAAAAAACATCCAAAACACTGTGGCAAAACATGACGACGTGATTCCCTAAATGATTAGCACTCCGTCATTACATTTATTGCTTCTTGGGTCCTCAGATACAACAATCGTTCATTCATATTAATGAAGAGCCTCAGGAATGGGCAGGTAAAAACCAAAAAGATTGTATTTTTAATCAAATTTGACTAAGCCACTAAGGCCATGAATTTATTTATTTCATAATGTATAATGTATATTGCATAAATTACATTTTTTACTTCTTTGTACATTAGGAAAGTAACAGTTGAATATTTTGTGTGTTTGTCAAAAGATGTGAAGCATTTATGCTCATATCTACAGAAAAGACATCCTTTGTCATTGGATAATGACAATTATCATAAACAAAGTTGCATAAACAAGTGCACTTCTACAGAGTTTACTCATGTTTTAATGTGCTTCATTTTGCTATTGTTAATTTGGGTTTGATTGATTTAAATAGTGTGCAGTTTGCGTTTTCTCGTCTTGATAGAGGTTAACATTTAGTTTGCTTTTAGTTCTTCCCTGGGACAACATTCAAGTACGTTAAGATTAATTTTGGTTTTGTATAAAGTTGTAGCAAGCACTGTTTTGTCTTAGTGTTGTATTTGCATTAGTCTTTGTTTTTGTTTAGTCTTGAAAGGAGGATGATAGTTTAATGGTTTCGAGTCAATTCAATGTATTATTAAAAAAATATAGCCAAATCTTTGTGAATGACAATTATTCGAATGAAAATTGACATTGTTCTAAAATTTGTGAAATTCATGCTTTTTATATCCACATAAGTCTAGGGTCAGTCTAAAATTTGCTACAATTCATATTGTGATACCAGAATATTCAAATATCATGATTTATTCAAATGCATTATTGAGTTATTTTGTGACTAGCACTGAGAAGTCTAAAGGAGTGAACGAAGAATAATTTTAATACCATTAGTCTTGTAATTTACAAAACTTGATTTCAGGCCACCTGCTGGTTGTTATGGATATTACAACAGCAGGCAGTTCAGTTTTGTGAACGAAGAATAATTTTAATACCATTAGTCTTGTAATTTACAAAACTTGATTTCAGGCCACCTGCTGGTTGTTATGGATATTACAACAGCAGGCAGTTCAGTTTTTTTTTTTGATAGACTACTTTATCAGAAGGGCCGGTCTGACCCAGAATTCCCGGGCCAAAAAATTGTCCCACTCCGGCCCTGCCCAGACGTTACATGCAGGGAAGAGAAATGCACAGGACTGGGTATTGCTGGCAGCATTTTTTTTCAATGTCAGTTGGCATGTCTTTACAGTGGCTGCAGACACACCAAGTAGACTGATTATCTGCATATGGGGCTTGTACACCTGGGCCTGAACGACGCATAACATCAAAGAGAACGCCTGGGTTCCTCCACAACACTTCCTGAAGTACTTACTTAGCGCCCTGGTGGATTAGGTTTTGAATGCGTTCGTAAGACAAAGAAGATACACATAGTTGTAAAAAAATAAGACGAGTTCTTTATGCATACAAACATTACCAATATTTTCCAAGTTACTCTAAGTGTTATACATAAGACATTACTAGTTTCAATAATGTTATATTGTGATACAGGCATAACAATATGCAACAATATTACACTCAATGTTTATTGCAAGTGTTTTGAATATATTCTAAAGCACAAAGCCTAATAATTATATAGTAATAGTTATGATAATACACAACATGTGTCTATCTTTTTCTTTTTTCCAAGTGGTTTCTACGTACAAATATTTTTGGGTCACACAAGTTGCATTATTCATATATGTAAGCTGTAACCACAGCGAGTACAGTCAGGCACATGTGGAATTCCAGTGCATCAAATTGTTACCCAGACAGTAACTAGTCATATAACAATTGTATTTAAAACATGCTCCTAACACATGCTAACACTAGTTTTGTACAACCCAATGAAGACTTCTCATAATGTATTTACATCTAATTACCCGTTCAAAGTTGATGCGCTGGGTTCGCATCTCATAGACACGTGCAGCCTCGTCCGGGCCTACATTGCCTACATCTCTGAGCAGAGAGAGGTGTGCTCTGCTCAGACAGATTTATTGTAAATGTCATCAACATGATAATGACAGAAATTGACTCGTACAGTACTAAAGGGCTGGACTCGACTCTCCCTGGTTTGCGGGCGCTTCTACCGCTCGCTTCAGCCGCTCCCCGGTACTTTTTATTAATGGTTTGGCCCTGGTTCTAACCGGGCGAGTCGATACCAGAACAATCTCACGTCAGCGAACATCAATTATGATTCCGAAATGAATGCTTTCAATCTCTAACCAAGAAAAAAAATCAAGTTTCAACCCAGTGTTTAGCAGAAACACAACTGTCTTTATTGAACCATGATTCACTCTCTGACTGTGTTTAGTAAAAGATCTAAATATGACACATAACACCAACACCACTTTAGCTGATTTAGAACCACAGACACATGTTCAGTATAAGACCAGATACTTTTGCATTTGATTGAAGACAGACACTCACCAGGCAGAGGCTTATCTCCTGATGTAGCTGGTGTTAGCTGGTTTTAGCATGTTAGCCGGTGTTAGCCGATGTCCGTAAATGTAATCCATTTGGTCAAACCACCTCCAGACTTTTCGGGTCTGCCTCTACTTCTGCTGCTGTGATCTTTCATTTCACGGTTGTCACTTTTAAGCTTTTTAACTTTTCTCTGCATTGTGATGTTCGTGGGAATCATTCTGCTCCGTCCTTAGCGCTACCTCCACAAACACTTTCTGGTTTCTGGTGGAACCATCGAGCTAACGCTGGTGTCCTCTCCTCAAACTGAGGAAGGTGTTGCCCTCATCCAGCGACCAAGGAACTGTTTTCCGTACGGACGTCATGGGTCGAGGCAACGTGTTGTTTGTTATGATATTTGCACCAGCTGAGGCTGCAGCTGCAGAGTGATTGACAGCGCATCTGACCAATCAGAATTGACGTTCGCCGACGTCAGATTGTTTTGGCGGCCCGGCTAGTGGAGTAAAGGCGGCCTTTACTCTGGGTCAGAACTACATTGAGAATGAATGGCAGCGCCACCATCGAGGCGTTTTTGACGCTTGTCGTGTGAAAGCCTGAGAGCCGCACGGAACCAGCCAAAGAGCCGCATGCGGCTCACAAGCCGCGGGTTGGCCACCCCTGGCTTAGGTGCTCTGCTCATCGGGGTGAAGGGGGGTGAATCCTTGTCAGAGGACAATTTTGTTGCATGTGAACTCTAAGCAGCAAAACACAAGATATATTTGTAACATGTGATATGCAAAGCAAAGGGTTAGCTCTATATAATCTATATTAGCAATTTATAGCGTAACAGTAGTAGATTGAGCAAAATGACCAACGTTAGCATTGCTGCATATATAGACAATAGATGCAATCCTTGGGCAAAATGGATAAAGATTTTTAATACATGCTTTGTCTTACCTCAGAAATGTCCATCGCCACGAAATAAAACAAAAGAACGATGATACGCGGACCTTCAAACTTTGTTATGTTTGGCTCTGCATGTGCACAAACGTAGAGGCGTGGCTTCAGGAAGATTGGCAGATGCGAGGGAGGGGCTAGGTACGGGCATAGAGCCATTCAGGTTTGAATTTCCACACCCTCTTTTCATCCTCCGGATATTTGCTTTAACGTTTCAGATGCACACGCGCAGATGCACACGCGCACGCGCAGATGCACACGCGCAGATGCACACGCGCACGCAGTGTAAATAGCCTTTCATTCTCAATGTGAACCCAGTGCTACTGGGTTCACATTGAGAATGAAAGGCTGACCCAGGGTTTTTAGTTGAAAACCCCAGATTTTTGGTCATTGTGAAAACCCTTAGTATATAGTTTGATGAAATGTTTTTGCACACTGTTTATTTGTGTTCTTTAATTGAGGAAGAGAAAATCCCGTAATAGACCTACCTCCATATCAGGCGGGACCCCCTGTTTGGGGATGGGTTCAGTGTGGCAGAACCTCTCCAACTGCTCTGCTGAGTCCCTGCTGCGCGACAAGGAGCTGTTGGGCACAGACAGTGTCCGTTTCAGGCCATCCACCTTCTTCCACCGCTTCCAGGGCTGTTTAGACTCAATCCAATGGCCTTCCCCATACTCCATGCCCTCCCGGTTGCCAAACACACTAGACAGCGAGTGATGGGCTTGGGCAAATCGCATCCTTGATCTCAAATTATCCTTAATTTTTAACTTTTTCTCAGTTTGTCCATTCTGTACTTGACAACATCTGAGAACAGGGGAAATACATTCTCCATGTCTCTGAAAGGCCCTTGTCAGCAATCGGGACTTCTTTTCATCATTTTCATCTGCCATAAAAACGTCTTGGCTTGAGGGACCTAAAAGCTGGACCTCGTCTGAAAACGTACTGATGCTTCCTTTTGAGTTCATGCATTTTTTAAACGACGGTATCTTGGATAAAACGGAGAACCTAGATTGGATTTTGGTCTTCTTGTGAACTTTGTCAATGTTGTTGCTACTTGCTGGAAACACATTGCAAATATTTACAGGTTGGCACTGCTGTTCACTGCAAGGCCGTAGCACCGCTTGTGGTTCATGCTCTGCAAAGTTTGACTGAATGGCCAACTGTTTTGCTGTGTTATCCATTGGTTGCTCCAAAATGGGTTCTAGACTTGTGGTGGTTAGAATACTTCTTTCGGTATATGAGAAACGCAGAAGTCTCAACTCCGGTTTCTCTGACTTGAAGTAATGCAGATTTAGATTCTCTGGTTTTGAACTATGATCTGTGCTGTGACAGGTAGACAAAAATGGGCTAGAAAAATCCTTGCACTGATTGTAGGACTCCCTGCACACTTCCAGAGTTCCTTTGTTCTTATTTGTGTCTGAAATAGAGCCTGTAAACAATTGAGACCTAGCATAACTGTTGCTAGAATTGGTGTTTAGAATGACATTTGTGCCCTCACAAGAGGATTTAGCTCTTAACTCTTCCTGTCCCTGTACATATTTGCCCAAATTCCCACCATCATTGTTTGCATCTATGGCATCATTACTTAATTTTCCATTTAAACTTATTTCAGTGCTGACAATTTGAAAACTTAGATGACAAGGTTTGTTGATATTTATGCTTTCACAATTAGTCCAACTGTCATTTCCAACTGTAGTTAATGACTCCAACTCTTCTTGGTGGTTCATTAAAGTGTGAAAAAATGCCTGTTTTGGATTATCGTGAAACAAATTCTTGCTTCCATCACTTGTATATTTTGAGATTAACCCCTCATCGTCCAAAAGGTAAGCATTTGAAAGACGGCTTGCAGTATAATTCTCAGACTCCACTTGAGCTCCCTTGGAGGAGGCGATTTCATTGATGGTCCCTGATTGTTTTCTGCTCTCTGTTACAGCCCTGCTATCTGAAACCCCTGCCTCGTCCCACGCTGGCTTTGTTCCCCTTGGACAGACCTGTGGAGAGCTGTCTGACACCTGTCCTCTAGGGTTTTTCTCCATCTGTACTTGTGAGTACACTGTACATCCCCATTTGCTATCCGGTGTCTGTGCAGGAGTTGTGTCATCTGCCTTGTAGACTCTTGTAAAATCTGTGCATACTAGCCCCACAGAGTCCTTTAAGGAGTTTGTATGGGTAGGAAATGGAGGTGCTGAAGACACAGAGGTATTTTTATCCACCATATAGTTTGTTTTTAATCCAACAGGCAGTAAACCATCTTGGAACAAATCAACGTCCATAGAAAATGTTTCCGGAGATTGGACCAGCGTACAATTAGTTATGTTTGTGTATCCAAAAGTAGCTGGGTATGAAAGGTTTTTGCTCTCTTGGAGTCGATCGATTTGGATTGAACACAATTCAGAGGCTCTGGAAGACAGTTTTAGGTCCATATCAGGGGTCTGTGTCCTCTTGGAGCCATTGTACTCTGTGTCGCCTTCTCGAGAGCGAAGGAAATCCTTAGCGGTGACGGACTCCCTCTTCCGGGGTTTGCTGAGAAAAGTGCGCCCCCCGGACTTCAGGTCTTCAGAAGTGATCAGGCTATGGGGACCTCCCTCAGATCCCCTCCTATGGCATGCCCTCTCAGGGCACAAGATCCCTGTCTCCAGAGACCGGCTGGGACACAGGAGAGAGGAGCCCTCCAGGGACCTCCGTGCCTAGGGACACATAAGGACAAGATTGTATATGTTTAATAAACAATGTACTTTTTCAGAGCTTTTCATTACGGTATTTCTGTTTTCCCTGGCATTATACATTCTCGGTTTTTGAATAGTGACTCATGCATGTTTCAGACATTTAAGAGTAACCCCGCCACTAGGATGCCAGTAATAAGTCAGTATTGAGCAAACTGCACAAATTGATCTTAGTGATTTTAGTTTTTTGCATAAGACTATGAAGAAGCCATTTGTATGTATATACAAGTACAAATGGCTTCTTCAGTCTTTTAAAATCGTGTGTTTTTGCAAAACAGCATGCAAAATGTTAATTTGCATGCAGCTGCAAGTTGGTAGAGATGTTCTGGTCGACACAAGTATGTTGCTCATGAAGCAGAAGGATTCAAGCAATTGTTTCTCAACATTGAGGCATATCATGTGACCTCCACACCGTACGCTTTATCTTCAGTTTGGTCCATGTATTTCAAGAGATGCACTTCTGGAAAAAAGGCCAACAGATGGCACAATTTCTACTATTTGTAGTGATTCAAAAGGGGTTCCAAAGTCTCCGGGGCTTCAAACACCCGGGCTTTGTTTTTTTCTCCTGCCAATCAGCTGCAGTCAGCATGGCTTGCCACTCTCACAGCCTGCCTTGCTCTAGGCTCTTTGTTTGTACCTGAGGGAGGCTGATGGAGGAAGAAGCACCTTGGAGATGAAAGATTTTGGAAGTTTCGTTGCAAGTGTAAGAAATTTTTTTTGTTGCAAACAAGTTACCTCACTTGGGTGATGTAAATGCCTCAGCTCACACTGGGGAAACGCTGTCACTGTTATAATCTTCAAATGTATTTCCTTTACAAACATAGTCCATAGTTTAGCTGGTAATTATATATTTTGTTTTTAATAACATATTTGTGTCTGTTATGCACTATACCATGACTTGAAAAGTAGTGATGCACACGGTGACCCGGCCTCACGGTAGGGGGCGATCATGAGCCTTAGGTTAAACAATCCATCCGATTTCACCAAAAAATATCCTTCACAATTATATATACAATCCAACTTTTGTAGCTTTATTCTTGCTGCCTGTGACACATGTAACTCCTAATTCATGATTTCTGATGATAACCACCAGATGGAATTTTTGTTCAGAAAAGACCAAATATGATTTATATGACATGTTATTTGTGTTCAGGGTGTTTTTAAGCACGCTGTAGATGATCCATTCCTTAATGAAGCCCACCTTGTACAATACTGTTCTTGCTGATCATAGGCATATTTCAAGTTGCTTTTTTTAGCCAAAGTAATAGAGAAAACTGTTCTCACCAATTCCAATTGGATCTGGACACAAATGACTTATTTGATACATTTCAATCAGGTTTTAAAGCTCTACACGGCACCGAGACTGCACTGCTCAGTTTCAAATTTTCTGCTATTAACAGCTGACTCAGGTTCTCCTGCCATTTTTAGTTCTTTTAGATTTGACAGATGTTTTTGATACTCCTCTTTTCATTGTTTCATGTTTTGTGTACTGGGTCAGGCGAAATAAGTTTAAATTCAGCCTGAACCCTTCGAGCGCATATTGTAATTCTGTTGTTTTGTTGACAGTTAACTGTAACTTTGTTTCTCATGCTTGACCGAATAAACTACTACTACTACTATTGTACATGCTGCCTCTTTGCTACATTCTAAGGAATCACAATGTTTCCTTTCATGCTTACGCCTGATGACCTGCAGATCTATCTGCCTTTAAAACCCACCTCAGTGTCAATTATGTGGAGCAACTTGGCTGTCCCGCTTTTTGGTTATTGTTGTTTTTTGCTCCAGAATCCCTGTAGACCTGAGTGATGCACTAGGTGTCCACTCCTTTGCTAGAAATTTAGTTATTTTTGATAGCACCTTCAGGAGGGACAAGCAAATAAATTGAGTGATCAAAGCAAGCTTCTACCAGCTTTGAGTCTTGAGCAAAGTGAAGGCCTACATACCACCAACTAAGCGAGTTATTTACCGTTTTATTACTTCAAGGTTAGATTATGTAACTCTTTGTACTGTGGCCTGGACATTAGCTCACTAAAGTGCCTTCAGCAGGCCCAGAATGCTGCTGCTCGCTTGCTCACAGGGACACGTAATAGAGAGCACATCACCCCTGTGCTGGCCTCACTTCACAAGCTCGCTGTCACATTCAGGGTTCGTTTTATGATTTTAATGCTTGTTTTTAGATGTTTAAATGGTTTAGCCCGAATATCTGACAGGGCTGTTATCTCTGTATATCCCTGTCAGATCAATGAGGTCAGAAAATCAGCTTTTATTGTATGTGCCCAGGTCTTGTCTAAAACCTTGAGGAGACCAGGCGTTTGCTGTTGCTGATCCCAAACTGTGGAAGAGAATCCCTATCCTCAATGGATGCTCTTCGTAGGGCTCAAACTCAATACTATTCAACTTTAATAGAAGCTAATAAAAACAACAGTAGATTTTTGTTTAGCACCGTCGCTAAACTCACAAACTGCCACAGTGCAATCGAGCCTAAAATACCAAGCTCACTGAGCAGTGTCGCTTTTCTTCACTTCTTTAATGATAAATTTACATCCACCCGTGACAAACTGGAGGAAACCACTCCTAGTGTTGGTGATAGACAGGCTGAAGCGCTGCACTTGATTTCCTTTCATTTGATTCTTCAGTGGGCCTCGACAAGTTCTCGGCTGTGAGCCAAGAGGAAGTGATCTCTGTAGTCGCATCTAAAGCCTCAACTTGTATCTTAGATTCAAGCCTGGCTTGGCTCTTTAAAGACATACTTCCTTTGATAATAGAGCCTATCTTAAATATAATAAACACATCTGTACAATGTGGCTATGTCCCACAAGCTTTTAAAACCGCTGTAATCAAACCCCTTCTGAAGAAAACAAACCTGGATCCGGAACTGCTTACAAGCTACAGACCGATCTCAAAACTTACTTTCATATCCAAAATCCTGGAAAAGTTTATAGCTGAACAGCTTTGCTGCCACCTGCAGGAAAATAATATGTTTGAAGTCTTTCAATGAAGATTCAGAGTTCATCATAGCACTGAAACAGCTCTAGTTAAAGTCACAAATTACTTCTAGCTGCTGATAATGGACAGTGCTGGTCCTACTGGACCTTAGCGCTGCATTTTACACAATAGACCACAGCATTCTACTGCAGAGGCTAGAATGTGATATAGGTCTCATGGTGCTTTCAGACCGCCAATGCTGAAACGCTGAAGCCCCGCTCACCAGACGCGCATTTTCTAGTTTTCAGACGCAGAGGTCTTCACACCAAGATGTCCTGACGCGCCGGAAGTGCCGGAAGTAGCCGGCCGGCTCTGATGCTAACAGAGCTATGCTAGTGGCTTCTTGTGTACAGATCTTCTCCAATATGCAGCTTTGCAGCGTGTCTTTGAACAAAGACTTTCCATGGGCTTTATATAACAGTAGTATGTGTTCACGGAGGTGCGGCTTACTTTTTTTCATATTATTAAACGGTATTTCCGCATCGGCGAACACACTCAAAGCAGTTGCATAAGGTCACGGGAGCATGACAACGCATATTTTCACAAGCACAGAGTCCACCATTGTCAACCCTAGTTTGAGTTCTGGTAAAGCCTGCTGTCGGTCCTGTTTTCGCTGTTTACTAGTATTTTCAGTCTGCTCGCTCAGTCCGCTAATGTCCCCGTGACCACTTTGCGGCTCTCTGATAGGTTGTCGCACGAACGTCCCAAGGAAAGGATGAGCAGAATCCATCTCCTATGGGCGTTGATTTTTCGCTCCTGCTCCTCCCCTTTGACTTTCCCGCCAAGTCCGTGCGTGTCTACTGAACAGTCAGTCCGTGCGTGCCGAGAGGTCCGTGCGTTGTGACGCTCGAACGCTTGTTACCATAGACTTTGCATTGAAAGCCGACGCCACGCATGATTCGGTCTGAAAGCACCATCAGAGGAACAGCCCTTGGCTGGTTTAAATCCTATTTATTGGATCGGTATCACTTTGTCAATGTGAATTAGAACTCGTTTCCCTACTCTTGAGCGGAATTCGTGTGCCCCAAGGATCGGTACTCGGACCGATACTTTTCACACTCTATATGCTACCGTTAGGAAACATAATTGATGCACACGGTGCAATTCCATGAAAAATTCAATTTTTCATGGAATTAATTTCCACTGCTATGCAGATGACACACAGCTTTTTCTGTCGATGAAACCAAATCAGACGGATCAGTTGAAAAGGCTTAGTGCCTGCAAAAAGGACCTTAAAACGTGGATGACTCTTAACTTTCTACTGCTTAACCCGGAGAAAACAGAGGTGATCCTACTCGGCCCAAAGCGCCTGCGTGACTCCCTCCTTTAAGGCTTATATAAACCAAGCAACTAAAACGGCATATTTCCACTTGCGGAACATCGCTAATATCAAGAATATCCTTCCAAAAAGTGACGCGGAAAAACTAATCCATGCCTTTTTCACCTCAAGGCTTGACTACTGTAACGCTTTGCTGGCAGTGTGCCCTAAAACCTCTTTGAAGAGCTTCCAGCTTGTTCAAAATACAGCAGCAAGGATCTTAACAGGCACCAAAAGGAGGGAGGACATAACTCCGAATAAAGTTAAAAATTCTTCTCTTGGCATACAAAGCCATAAATGGCTTAGCTCCCTCTTATCTCCAAACCGAGCACTGCGCTCGCAAAACTCCAGACGTCTGGTGGTCCCTAAGGTCTCAAAAAGCACTATCGGTGGCAGAGCATTTAGCTACCAAGCTCCTTTACTGTGGAATCAGCTCCCCACGCACGTTAAGGAAGCAGACACTGTCTCTACATTTAAGGCCAGGCTTAAAACACTCTTTTTCAACCTAGCAATTGGTTAGGTTGATGTCCGCTCAGGTTTCGTCCGGTCTTGGAGTCTGCGTATGTTGGACCCGGTCCGCTGCATCTTCAACCCTACGTTCCAGGCTAGGCTAAAACAGTCCTCTTTAGTTAGCATATGGTTAGGAAGGTAAGACTCAGGTAAGGCTAAACTCCTTAGACTTCCAGTCAAGCTGCATAGGGAGTCAGTTTGCTGGGAGAAGTATGGTAACATGAGCAGTATCCTCTCCTCCTTCCTACTTTATCTGTTTAGCATTATTAGGATTTTGACTGTAGTCTCTTCATTCCTATTCACCCGTTGTCCCATTGTCTGTTCCATGGTACGATGACGGGACCTGTGGACCTGGCCTCCTCCATCTACACCAGCGGACTGCCCTGCCCGACCCGCTTGAGAGTTCTTCAGTCCTGCACCGGACCTGTCCACGTTCAGCGGCCGCTGGTCCACGCTCTGTAGCTTAGGTCCTGGATCTAAAGCCCGTCCGTCCGGGAGGAGCGGATCCCTTTCTCAATATGGGTCTCCCCGAGGTTTCTCACTTTTCCCCACTGGGTTTTCTTATGAGCTTTTCCTTGCCGATGCAGGAGGGTCTGTTGGGCAGTTAGTGTCCAACTAGAAGGACTTTGGTGATGATCCAGGACACTTTAACATTCTACAAAATGTATGGACATTTTTCAACATGTGTTCTATATTCTTTGTGTTTAACTTTTAACTGTTGATTCTCTGTTGATCTGTGTTGGTGATTTCAATGGGTTTGTTAAGTCCTCTGAGATGACTTCTGTTGTGATTTAGGGCTATACAAGAATAAGTTGTGTATTGTATTGCAATGGTAACTAAAACAGCTTGTCCTCAGCTGATAGGGAACCTATAGCTTTCACAAAGGTTGGATTTTTGTGGGGAATTTAGTGTCCCTTGTCATTCTGACCTTTTTTTCTTTAGAAATCCATAGGTATTCTATAAATCCATGCAAGTTAACAAACTGTTTTATAATCTTGTCTGCGCACCACGGAGAGCGCCCCATCACATCCTCTTGGTTGGTTCAGCGGCACTTGACAGCAGTGCCCCGTAGAGTCAACAGTGCCCCCTACTTTGACAGGCTGCCTTGACGGCAACAACAGCAAAAATAATTTACCTGTCGTGAGATGGAGGTTAGCTTGAATTGCAAAACCACAGGTTTGTTGTCTTACTGCTGCAACTGCGCAGTAGGCTACACCTAGGCCTACTTTTGTTTTTTACTTTGAAGCTATGGGAAATAAAATCGGCCCGTACATGTTTTTTAAGTCAGGATTTATCAATAGCCTCATTATTTTTAGTGATGTTTTGTGTCTAACATAACATTTAGGAGGAGGTGCGCGCACGGCACTTCTGAACATATTCATCTCCAACATATGCTCTCTGGTCAATAAAATGGACAAACTCCTTATGCTGATGACAAGGAATAGAGACTCCTCATCTTGTGTTTTCTGCTTCACTGAAACCTGGCTCAGAGATTGGATCCCAGACTCATCCAACAACCAGAAAGGCTCTTTGAGCTAACTTACTTTGCACCTGTAAATGATCAAACTGTCCAAGAGATAATCTCCAGTTTGAGCTCCTCCACATGCAGCCTGGATGTACTACCCACTAGATTTCTAAAGTCTGTTCTGAGCAGTTACCTTCACTCACACAGATAGTAAACATGTCCCTTAATTCTGGAATATTCCCAAAGGCCCTGAAAACTGCAGTCATCAGGCCCCTGCTAAAAAGAGCAGTCTGGATGCTATGGTACTTAACATCTACTATCGTCCCATCTCAAATCTGCCATTTATGGGGAAAGTCCTTGAAAAAGTTGTCTACCAACAGCTAAATAGATTTCTTATAATCAACAACTCAATTGTTTCAGTCCGGCTTTAGACCCCACCACAGCACTGAGACTGCTCTCGTTAAGGTTACAAACGATATCCGGCTGAACACTGACACAGGCAAAGTCTCAATCTTAATCCTGTTAGATCTGAGTGCTGCCTTTGACACTGTCGACCATGAGATCCTCTTACAGAGACTAGGGACTGGGTTGGCGTCGCTGGCACCGCCCTAAGTTGGTTTAGGTCTTACCTTGAAGACAGGAAGTACTTTGTGGAGATTGGAAACTGTGTCTCAGATCATATGGCCCTGACCTGTGGAGTACCACAGGGGTCGATCCTGGGACCTCTTCTGTTCAATCTCTACATGCTGCCGTTAGGTCAGTTAATACGCAGAAACAAAGTGTCCTATCACAACTATGCAGACGACACTCAGATCTATGTCTCACTGACTGCAGGAGAACATGGACCAGTGCACTCACTCCATCACTGTATCCAACAGATCAGTGAGTGGATGCAAAACAACTTCCTTCAGCTAAACGCAGACAAAACTGAAATGATTGTCTTTGGTCCCCAGAAACAAAGAGAGAGCGTCATCTGTCACCTACAGTCTCTCTCCCTAAAACCTTCAATCAAGGTCAGAAATCTAGGGGTAATACTGGACTCAGACTTAAATTTTAATAGCCACATCAAATCAGTAACATCAGCAGCTTTTTACCATCTAAAAAACATTGCCAGGATCAAAAACATAGTGTCTAAAGCAGACTTGGAGATTCTTATCCATGCATTTGTCTCCAGTAGGTTAGACTACTGCAATGGCCTGCTCACAGGTCTGTCCAAACAGGCTGTAAAACAGCTGCAGTACATCCAAAATTCAGTAGCTCGAGTCCTGACTAGAACCAGGAAGTACGACCATATTAGTCCGGTCCTCAGGTCTCTGCACTGGCTTCCTGTGGCTCAGAGAATAGACTTTAAAACAGCTCTGCTTGTTACAAGTCTCTCCATGGCCTCGCACCAAAATATATTAGTGGCATGTTAGTCCCATATGAACCAGCCCGGACTCTGAGGAGCACAGGGACTGGACTCCTGTTAGTGCCCAGAGTCAGAACTAAACATGGGGAGGCTGCTTTTCAGATTCATGCTGCTAAAATCTGGAACAATCTTCCTGAAGATGTGAGACAGGCCTCCTCTCTGACAATGTTTAAAACCAGGTTAAAAACGGTGCTGTTTAGCTGTGCATACAACTGAGGGATTTTATGTTTTTATCTTTCTTTTAATGCTATCTTGTTCAGCACTTTGAGTTGCCTTGTGTATGAATTGTGCTATACAAATAAACTTGCCTTGCCTTGCCTAGAACTGAACGTCCAGAAGACAGTGGAGATGATTGTGGACTTCAGGAAGAACACAGTCCTCCTGCCCCAGTCCTCCCTGATGGACTCCCCCATCACCTCTGTGGAGTACTTCCATTTACTGGGCACCCCCATCACCCAGGAACTCAGGTAGGAGCCGACCATCAGCTCCCTCATCAAGAAGGCCCAGCAGAGGATGTATTTCCTGTGGCAGCTTAGGGAAGCCAAGCTGCCTGCACAGATGTTGGTGCAGTTCTACATGGCCATCATGGAGTCCATCCTCACCTCCTCCATCACCGTGTGGTTGCTGGAGCCACAGTCAAGGACAAGCAGAAAGCAGAACGTCCTCTACAGCGCTCTGCAGAGAAAGTGATCGGCCGCAGCCTCCAATCGCTGCAGGACCTCTACAACGTCCCAGCTAGAGGCTGGGCTGGTCGTATCACAGCTGACTCCTCTCACCCTGCACATGGATTGTTCCAACCCCTCCCCTCAGGCAGGAGGCTTGGGTCCATTCAGACCAGAACTGTTCAGTTTGCATACCCCCCAGAAAATGGGTAGACAGAACACATCACAGATCACAGAACCATCCAATTTATAGCAAATGTTGACATCAGTTAGTATACAGTATGCCAAGGGATTTATACCACTAGACCCAAATTGCAACACATTATATGAAGTTCATGCATTACTCACTCGTCGGAGGTGGGTCGATGGTGTGGACTTGTGCAGCAGCAGTAGGTAGAAGTGAGCTGACAGCCAGCTCAGCACGGCTCCCATGGTGAGCCAGGGACCCAGGCTCACACACATGCCTCTGTATGCTGCTCCATGCTGGGATCACCTCTAGAGGCTCTCCCCTGTCTCCATCTTAACCTGACCTGCCCTCCACAAAGTCCTCTAAAGTGCGCATAAACCAGTGTGATCAAACAAGCGGCCGAGAGGATGTAGCATGTTAGCCTCTGTGCAACTAATCCCGGTTTAAAACGGCATTTACACACTGATCTCTGCACCACCGTCAGCACTGACGCTAAAAATAACTAATGGACAATGCATTGACTTGAGTTACTAGGTCTTCTTCTGTCTAAATTGTTTGTATTAATTTGTCTCAAACATGATACAATACATAGACCTAAGATGTAAAAAGTGATCTGTCGTATTTTATTTCTCTGATTGCTGTATTTGTTTGACTTAATGTTTAACATTTGATTAAGTTGTCTGGACAGTTGGATTTTGGAGAGGAGGGGGTTTGCTATGTTCCTATGTTTACAACCTTAATCTATGCATTGAAAGGGTTTGTGGATGCATGTCATAAATAATGTTGTATTACTGCTATGTTTTCCAAATTTTCCAGCGAAGTTTTTTTACTAGTATTTAGAATGCACACTCCTCTGGGCACCTCTCTGCTCTTGAGAGGTATAGTGGTTGGCAAGAGCTGTTCTCTCTGTCCCTCTCTCTGGTTGGGGGAGGAAAGGTGAGGGAGGAGTGTGTTTTTGTGTGTGATGTCATTGAATGTTTGTGTGCATACGACAGGAAGGTTTTTTATTCTTATATGTTTTTAGGAAATATATATACATATATTATTTTAAGATTTGTACTTAATGTTCTACCTCTTCTAGTTCCTTTAGAACAGTGATCCCCAATCACTTGACACACCTGGCTACTGTTACTTTAGAATAAAGTAGCTGTTTACTTTTGAATGCGCTGGAAACTGCAGCAAGTACCTCTGAAAAAGTTGTTGCTTTACAATTTTTATTTGTCTAGCTTTTTTCTATCTGAGATGTTGCTGCAGTACAGTGTTCATGATTTTTCACTGGTCCAGAGCATAGCAGATAGGATTCATGGTCTGAACCAAGTGGATCAGGCAGAAATCCACTGGAGGAAGGCAAACTTTTTGAAAAATGTTAATGAAGTATTCAGCCTTTTATTTTGGACTAGAGCAGAGAAAATAGTCAGAACCAAGCAGCTACTCCACCTGATGACCAGTCCACTCCACCTCTGCTGCTGTGACCTGAAGGGCTGTTGCGTATTATTACTATTGTTAGATATTATATAAAAAATAAAATAAGCGCAAAAAGATTCTTTTCACCACAGGGTCCTCACACATGTAGCTACTTGTTGTGTTCTATGCTTATGCCACTAGAGGGCACTGATACTCCTTATGTTATGCGCTGCCAGGGCAGGAATTTGGAATAATGCGTTGCAGTTATCTGCTTACCCGTTTAAGACCTACATAAAGTTTGCAATTACTTTAGAATCAGAATTAGAATCATTTTATTGCCATGTGTAACAAGAAGTCAAAAACTAGGGAATTGTTTTGGCTCTCGGTGTAAGCAGAATTAAATCAAAAAGGCATGCATAAATAAAAATCGACATATATACAAGTGCACTAAGTGCACACAATAGACCATTAAGAGTGCAGTAATGGGCTTCTTCTTCATGTACAATACACCACACTTCGTTGCTCCAATTAGTTGCATCAGGAAAGAGGACAAGAGACAAAGAGATGAGGAGCACAGCAGACAATGTTGTTAAGTGTTCATCATGGCTTGAATTGCTCAACAGAGCTCAGATAAAAGTCAGATAGATACTTTGTTGATCCCAATAGAAGAAATTCATGTGTCCATCTGTTGTACAGTCTTATAGCTGAAGGAACAAAGGATCTTTTAAAACGTTTCGTTCTGCAGCTCACTTAATGAGCTGAGTCCCACAGAGTCAAAACGTCTACTCATCACAGGTATTATGTTATGCTTGTACCAATATGCTGACCAATTAGAGTGATGAAATAATTGTGACCTTTTATAATAATTCATGCAGATGATAATTCTATTTTCTATTAAATTCTCCTTAATATTTACTTGTATTTGTTACATTCAATTCAATTGAATCTTTTGCTGAGTGGTCTGCTAATTACTGATGTGTTAAAGAAGCTTAAAGGATCAAGCCTCAAGACACACCAGAGCTCAGCCAATCACCCGCCAGCTCTTTCTGTGCCCTTAAAGTGATACTAAACACATACACATTCTGGCCGTGAGTAGGATTCAAAATGTTCCTCTGAAGAAGGTGTGCTTGGAAGATCATGGAGGGCATGCTCTGGTGTCAATTCGATTCCACACACTTCCTCCAATGCTTCCAGAGTTCAGAAGTGACAGACATTGCTTTGCACATGAGCTGTTAAAACATTCATAATGTCATTTAAAGAATCCTTTTTATGAAGTCTTACATTACTGCCTCTGAATATGATCGTCATGACCCCAGTTTGTCCACTTTCAAAGGCTCCACTCCAGACAAATAAAAAGCAGGAAATATCTCCCCACTATTACAAGAGTCTACTTGGAGTTAAACTTAGTTTCAAAATGTTACTCATATTGGCCCTCATTTATGAAACTTGCGTGCAGAAAAATCCGGGTGTAAATGTGTCGTACGCTAAAAAATTACGCTTTTTGGCATTTATCAATCTGGAGTGTTTCTGATGATGCACAGAAAGACAAACTTTGGAAATTGAGGCCATGGTTAACAAAACTATGTGCTCAAGTATTCCTCTTGATGAATGTTAATCTTATCTTCGGGTTTACATGCCAGCAAAACCTCACAAGAGGGTTGGTGCTGGGCAAAGTGGTTATCTATACGATTTTGACATTTGCCAAGGTGCAGTAGATCCCCACAAAGTGAAATGAGATGTTGCTGCTTCTAGAGATATTAGGCCTCATTCACGAATAACTTCGTAAGAAACTTCTTAAATTTCTTCTAAAGTCGTTCTTAAGTAGATTTCTAAGAAGACCCTACGTGGGATTCATCAACGCGCTCGTAAGGCGCTGAATTGTTCGCAGCTGTTCTCATAGATTGATGAATGCCAACTCCTCGTAAGTACAGCGCGCGTGCCAGGTGTTTCATTAGCATAGGTACTTAGCATAGGTAACCGCCCATTCATGCCCATGAAAGGGACTGCAGGGCCGTGTGCAGACGGCAGAGGAAACAGCAACAGGCCTAAAGCAAAGAGTTGCACGGAGCAAAAGAGTCACCCTTTTTTCTTCTTTTGCCAGACTGAGAATAAAGTTATAAAATGTTGACTTAAAAGTTGAAATATAATGAGAATAAAGTCGAACAAGCAAATTTATGAGATTAATCTCAAAATGTTATGAGCTTAATTTGAAAATATATTATGTATCAATTTAAAAATGAATCTCAAAATGTTTTGAGATTAATCTCAAAATATTTTGGACCCTGGGAGGAGATCCAGCGCGGACCAGCGCTGAGACCAATGCAGACCCGAGGAGAGACTGAGTGACCAGCACACAGAAACCAGCGCGGACAGGAGAGACCGCATATGACTGGAGAGACCTGACTGGAGAGACCAGTGCGCAGAGACCAGCGCGGACCGAAGAGAGACCGCATAGACCAGACTGGAGAGACCAGCACGGACCCGTATGGATCCAGGAGCGTGCAGCACGGACCCGTATGGAGAGACCAGTGCAGACCCGTCTAGATCCATGGGAGAGACCAGTGCAGACCCGTCTAGATCCATGGGAGAGACCAGTGCAGACCCGTATAGATCCATGGGAGAGACCAGTGCAGAGACTCAGCGCGGACCCCGCAACCTCCTGCAGCAGCAGTATATATTTCATTGTTCTGTGGCCCGTGGATAAAGAAATGCCCCCTATAAATAGGAAGGGGTCACTAATACACGGCAAGATTTCCAAGGTATTTGATAAAGCGTTGGCACATTTCATTTCAAAATGAATTAAAAAATAGGCAAAATTACCAAAAACAATTAAATAAATAAATACATACATCAAAATGACGGACATATCACTGTAATGTTGTGTTTTATTGAACTTCATAACACCAGCGTGCGAACGTGTCAACACTGAATGTGCGTACGAGTGCTCCTGAGCATTCGTAGGATTTGTACTTACCCAAGTGAAATTCTGGTTAACAGAAAATTTCGAGAGAAAATTAGGATTTACGCACAAATTTGTTCTTAAGTACGGTTCGTGAATGAGGCCCATTGTTCTGAAGATGATTTCAACCCTTACGGCAGGGGAAAATAATAAGGTTTTTGAAGACAACTACTTCACATCAGTTCCATTGGTGGAGCACTTGAAAGAAAGAGGAATCTACTACATCGGCACAGTTTGAATGAGACTGCAGCATGATCGATGAGAAAGACAACAAACCAATGAACCTGCTTTCTTCTTATGTCGACATTGAACCCATGAGAGGTTTGAAGCATTGGGATCGAACGCCCAAAACATACATAATGTTTAACAGACCAGCCATTGTTGAAACATACAAGTTAATTGGGGGAATTGACCTTCTTGATATGTTACCTGTACTTTACAAGTACAACTTCAGATCCCAAAGATTGTATATGTACATTTACTCCGTCGGGGCCCGTGGCATTCCCCAGGAAGGCCTTGGGCCCTGACGGAGTACCGGGAAAGGTGCTCAAAGCATGTGCTTATCAGCTTGCCTCCATCTTCACCAAGCTCTTCAATCTCTCTCTGGCTTAAGCTTCCATCCCCTCCTACCTGAAATCAGCCACAATCCAGTCCCAAAGAAGTCTCCCATCACCAGCCTTAATGATCACCGCCCTGTGGCCCTCACCCCAGTAATCATGAAGTGCTTTGAAAGGCTGGTCTTACAGCACATTAGAGACTTTCTTCCAGTTGACTTTGACCCCTTCCAGTTTGCGTACCGGGCGAACAGGTCAACAGAGGACGCCATCGCTGTAGTTCTCCACTCTGCATTAAATCATCTAGAGAAGCAGCAGTTACATCCGCATGCTGTCCGTGGACTACAGCTCGGCGTTC